CAAATGCCTTGTTCCTGCAGACAAGCTGAAGAGAGTGCCCGTTTGACCGCTGAAGCGGCGCAGCTGCAGCTCCGGGAATGCTGTAGTTGCGGAAGAGGAGGATTGCAAAAAGTAGCAAAGGATTCTGCACCCCGACATCAGCTCCAATACTGCGGCCGAAATATTGGGGTGCAGAGAGAGACCTCAAAGGCCTCAACACGTGTGTGCTGGAGGGGCTGCTGGCGATGACCACTCGGGCACCCTAATACGCCCTCGCGATAGCTTCTGAAGTTGACCGCGAAAACTGTACACTTTTGGATTGCCCATGAAAATTTTCTTCTTGGCAGCGAGTTCTCCTTCGCCGATACCCGGAGTCGCCGGGGCAGCAAGGAGGGGGCTTTGCAGGCACTTGGCCGCCTTTTCGGGCCTCTGTTGTGGCCTCGTGGATTGACGACCAGTCAAAACAACGTGATCAATGAGCTATAAGGTAGAAGGCCAAATCGAAAGAGAATGCCTTGCGAGGCGTTATTCTCTACCAAGAACAACATCGCTCAAAATCCGTCACCAAACTGTGCCGACGTAACCATATTCGTTCAACGAGGGGTAGTATCCGTAGTGATGACCAGTTCAGTGCTGGGAGTGGGCCAGACTGGAAATTGACTCAACACCGCCCTGCCCACAACTCGAGATCGGATGAGAGAGAGAGAGCTTCCCCGGTAATGTACACTCGAGTTTCTTGTACAGATTAGAGTGCTGATTATCCCCACAGAGGCGTAGCGAGAGCGCGCACACCAGCAGCGGCTTTTGAAACGACCGGAGCAATCGTTACGGCCGTTGGTTGTAGCCTCGCAGTCAACGGCTCGGGTAGAGACATGATACCGGACAGCGATGAGCAGCATTGGGGGCTGAAATTAATTGCCGAAGGTTTTGAGATGGTATTCTCCCCCTCTTCGTATGCCCATCCTGCAGATGGATGAGGTCGTGTAGTGGTGGTGGCGGCTGCGCCTTTTGCGAATCTTTCAGACCATTGTCTGGTTCGACATTCCCACGCAACCACAAAGCTTGACCCTGGAAAGGGGGGCAGAAGGGATTCCTTTCTTTCCTCGGGGACCGTTTTGCCGCTGTTCCAGATGCGACATGGAGAAAGATGTTCTTACGGGCGCAACCGGCGGAGGGCCTAACGCCCACCTTTGTCCACACTTGACCACTCCTGGCAGCTCTTCCACAGAACCACCGCGGCTTCCAGTATGTCCACCCCCTCTCCTGAACGGCGAAGTCCCGGAGAATGTCAATCCATGACAACTGCAGAATCTCGTCACGCCGCGGACCGGTTGTGCCGTCCTTGATTCGCGGGAGCCGGGGAAGATGGTAACAGCAGGTTACCGTGTAAAGAGGACCACCATCACTGAAGATAGGTGGTTTGCCTCGTTTCTCCAATGGTTGACGAGCAGGCAGACACCACAAATACAAGGCGCCGCCCCCCAGGAAGTATTTGTGTGTATGGAAACCTCGCGTGGGTGTAGCAGGGCTTGCCTATGGGGATTTCAGATCAGCGTCCGACGGGGGAGGGGGGGGGGGGGGCGAGTCCGTCCGGTTACCCAGTTGTCAGCTACCATCGCTGCGCCTTTTTCCAGAATGAGTAACTGTGATTGCCTTCATTGAGCAGTTCTTCAGTGAGAATAAAGCTGCCCAAGGTCTAGGATCAAGTACGGATTTCCATGATACACGCTTCTAGCCGCAAAGAGCTCATGCCCTGGAAGCCGAATGGACGCCCAAAAACCCAGCGTGGAGCGTACCCTGTTCCGCATGTGGCCGGGAGAGACCTTGAAAGAGTGGAAGAAATCTCCTGGTGTATCTCCTTGTACCCTCGGGCTTTTCTCACGGTGCCCTAGGAATGACCAGCAAATCCTCGTCCAGGGGGGGCGTTAGACTTCGTTGATTGCAATGGAATGGATGGTGGAGTCTCGGGGCTGCACGGTGCAGCGATGGCAAGCGTCATCGAACCACTGCCCACTGGAAATCTCGGACGGAAAGCTCACATGGCGAGCGGCAAGATCGCTGTCAGTCTGAGCGTACTTCGGTGCCTCGGACGGACACCTCTGGTCAGGGTTCTCGAATCCATAGCATGGCTTGGCATGAAGATGGAGGTTGCCACGTCCAGACAGTTTGTCACCCCGTCCAATCAAAGGAAGTTCGTTTACTCTCGGCTGGTTTGATGCTGTTTTACCGCCAGAATGTGTTGACTTGCTTGAAGACGGACCGAGACAATTTGCAGTACCAAAACCCTAGCAGACGATGCTTTGCGGTGGATACCTGTTTCCTGGCATATCCAGTAGGACGCTTGCCGGAGACCAGCTGCCTTCGCGACCCGAGAGACCGGAAGCGCTCAAAGTGCATGACAATGCGCAATGCAACGCAAACCAGAAATTCAGGCGAAGAAGAGGCAGTGTTGGCTTGATTTGGACCTAGGTTGTGAATATGGACGACCACAACCGCGTCAGGGACAGTTACAGACGCGACCAACGGCGTGATGAGGCAGTGACGACCAATGGGGGCGACGAACTATGCGACCTGGGCGCTAAGAGCGTAAAATTCCAGGGAATGGGGATACGGCCAGTTCCTCATTAGGCTGTTTGCGGCCGGTAAGGTTTTCCTTTGGAAAAGTCGACGACCAGAGAAGCGACCATGAGCAGGGAGAGTTGACCTCGGGCTTGCAGCCATGTCGCCTGCTTCTGATGTCGCACCTCGGGACTCATCAAGCGGTCGTTCCTACAACCGAATGGGAGATATCATGGTAACGACATGTCGAAGAGAGTGGGACTGAGAGGCTAAGGCGGCACAGCGGTCTCCTCGAACCTCAACGTGGCACGGGCTGGGGGGCTTAGAAAGGCCAAAGGATCAGACTGCACCTCAGTCTTCTGTTTCGGCATCTATCCATAGAATGGCGATCTGCAAGGTACCATCGGTCTGAGGAACGTGAGGAAGGGCCGGCACGCGAAGGCAGACGGCCTCAATCGTCTCTCCTCGAGGCAGAACGTACAGGTTCAGCTTGACTTGGCTCATCAAGGATGCGTCATGGCTTCCGGTACAGTACCCGCATCTGGAACCATGGGATCGAGGAAGGGAGCGGCCAGGAGCAACAAAGTTGGGGCACGTTTCTGCAGCAAGGCGCAGGTGGTGTGGAAGAATGCGTGTGATAGCAGGTAGCTACGAGGCAGCGGCGTGTGAAGTCTGGAAGAATGTGGGTGGGTGTGTGATATCGCGGTTAAAAAGTTGACAAAGTTGCGTTCTGTTGACCTTGCGCTGTTGGGGATGAAGTCTGGCCGCTTGTTGGAAGTGAAAATGGTTTATCTGGGAGTCACTAGCGACACCATGAGTGGTTGGATGTGCTTAAGCTTCAATTCGAAAGAACAGACGCGCGCTAAGTCCGAAGAAAGGGATCGGCTTCTGACCAGTGAGGTGTGCTCGTGGAAGTGGAGAAGGCACGGTAGGGGTAGGGTGAACCAAAAGGGAATCGACGGTAGGTACGGAGTACGTACCCAAAGTGGGAGGGGAAGATATGGGGGGAGGGGTGTGATGGGTAGTATAATTGTGGCCTCAGGCTTCAGACTTATCCCGGTGGCCCTGACGAAATGCCTCCGAGGCGAGCCAATGATAGCCTTTAATGAGGGTGGGCTGTATCTAGTTCTGACGCTAAAGTAGCGCGAACCAGTCTGTCGGGTCCGCGCTAGTACTGTGTAAGGATATCCCTGACGACCAAAGAGATGAGAACTGAGCGTATTGGCTCAGCGTCCGTTTTCCCCCTCCCTCTCTGCAGCAAAGTCGCGTTCCTCTCCTCTTGTTTCGCACCGGCGGCCATACGTGGCTATTGTTCTTTCCTGCTCAATCAAAAGGCATGGTCGAGGGTCTCAAAGTTGCATGCACCGTAGTCAATATCAGCCCATTCTTCCCTTGCCTTGTGGCAACTCACCCTTTTTTCGAACGAGCTTCAAGCCAGGCAGGGGGGAGGGCATGAACGCCGGCTGTGTGGGGGCAGGCATGGCATCAACCGGTTCTTCAGAAGTTCAGAATCGAGTCTGTGATCGGGACCCCCCTCAATTCGGCTTCCATCCCCATAGTAAGACATCAACTGTACGAAGGTACGGGCGGGATACTCCGAGTATTCACAAAAGAAACCAGTGTCTGTGCCGGTCAGCCAGATTATGCGGCAACCCTCTCGTGGCACGAAATGGATCTCAGATCGTGGCGGGCGGCAGCTTATGCCTATGGACCCTCCAGATCGAACGGTTCCCGCCTCTTCCCGCTCGTGTGTCCAATCCTCTGTCGCCTTTATTGTGAAGTTGCTGGTCCCGTGTCCATCAAGCTTGTGGGGACTGCCCAGTTCAAAGCAGAGTACTCCGTATGCCATCACTGCCTTCACTATGCTAGCTTGGATAGGTGCGTATACCAGGGTGCATGGCCTGGCATTGTACGAAGCATGTATGCTTGCCTTGATCGACAGTGGCTTGATCGCATAATAATCGCCGTGGCCAAGGAATGGGAATAACATGGAGACTCAATGCCATGGTGGGAGGCGAGAGTCGAGACAATGTGAAAGCTTTGTTCCACTGGCGCGTGTTTACCGATGCTGCAACAAGTTCTGCACGGGCAAGGGAAGCCCCCCTGACTCTTTTCTTTTTTCTAACGAGCCATGGCCTGACATGAGCATGTCTCTCTGGACGCTGGGAAGAGAAGAGCAAGGTAGTCCAGAAAGAAGGCAATTTCAACGACGAGTACCTAGTTCTCGGATAACAGTTTAAGCAATTCCATCCTGAAGGGCCCAGGTTCTTCCAGTGACTCCAGCCCACTCCAGTGCGGTCCAGTTCGGTGCCCACTCAAGCAATGTCCAAGACTCTAAGTTGACGGGACGCGTCCCGGTCACACCCAGCGACGGGGAGTAAAGGTCGACAAGCGAGGCCTACGAAAACTGAGCCCCCGCTTTGTCCGAGGAATTGCAGCCTCAAAACCCACACGCCCAAACATCAGAGGTCTATCTTAGGGATACCCCCCGCCACCCCTGTCTCTCGAAGATTCCCACCTGGTGGTGCTGGGGGCAGCTGGGCACTGGCCGTTCTGTTCCGCGACTCTTGGCGTAGGGCGGGCCTGAGGTGACCAGACCTTAGGGCAATGCAGATTTCGGCAACGGTACCCTTAGCTATCGTAAGGGTCCCGCCCACGAAACTGATAGCAAGTAGGCAAATGTGACAGATATGAGAGAGAGGAGAGTCACAGTATAATGTACCTTGGGAAGTGTCGCCGGAAGAGATTCTAAGTTTCTGACCTATCATTGAGTCAAGGTTTTCACAAGTGGAAAAGGATTTGGTGGTAAAGACACATGTCAGCTCTTAGACTCATTGACCATGTGATGATTAAAATCAAGGCAACAATGCGCCGGTTAGGAAGAGTCAGTTATCTGAATGCTGAACTCCAGGAAACTGGACCTGCCTGGACTGGAGAAGGTGAAGGAGCGGACCCGGCTCAAGGACGGCACAGTTGACGCACGCAGACAGACGGGTAAGGTAGGTAGGCAGGTACCTACTTACTTGGGTACGTATAGGTGCGGTACGTCGCATGTGTCGAATGGAAGGCAGGCACGCCGCACAGCAGGAAGTCAAGAAGGCAGAAAGGCCGCAGGGAGTCGGGACGGAAGGAAAGACTCACTCAGGACCTAGACGAGAATGGGAATAAGCAGCAGAATGAGAATTAGAATGAGAATGAGGCAGGCACACGCACGATACGTACCGCAAGATGAACGTCCCCACTTGCCTTTTCCTACCCCCGGCTTTCCCAGGTTGCCGACCCCGTTGCGGCCGCTCATGGAGCCAATCACACGGTTCATGCAATGACACCCGTGGACTCGGCCGTTGTCCTCTGTTGAGTCTCTTTGGCTCGACCCCCGAAGTACAGACGGAGTCCATGCTCACCTCACTCACACATCCTTTGCCTTCCCTCTCTTCCTCTTTCTCTCTTCACCAACCCCCGTTTTGAAGTCGACCCGGACCCGAAACGCCGACCAGGGACAGCTCCCGACATCGAGTGTAGCACATCCTCACAACTTCCTTATTTTTCTTCGTTGATTATTTTACTGTGCCTTTTTTCGCGAGTTTGATTACCGGGTCATTCCAGCTACCGTAAGCGGATGGACATTGCATTACCTGAGCCCCGGAATTATGCTCCGACATTTTCAACCTCCACACTTGTTAAATAATTGAACTCTACATAATACGCCATCGCCTCTCTTTGACACATATCACTACACCTTACCGACTGGCACTCGCATTGTCATGCCTGCCATCGCCGGGAAATGGCTAACATTTCTAAGACTTCCTCAATGCTATACTCTGTCCGCATCTCTCTCCAATCGGATCGAGATGCACTAAGAGCAGGGAGTTCACCCACTAATATAGCGTCAAGATCGATTTGATTCCTCTTTTCTCGTCTATCAACTAATCCACCACGGGAGCAAACCCGTATCAGTCCCGTCCCGGGGCAACCCCGTTGTAATGGTCCACGTCAATCTTGGCATATCTGGGTCCTTTACGTGCGTAACTACGTGCGTAATGTGCAACTCGGACGCAGATTGATAGCTCCCAGACGTCACAATGTCACCCGTTCTACTACAGTCACCCACACTTCAATCCAAGTCTGTATTTCTCCCACACCAAACACAATACCCTTCCAGCATTTAGACTTGATAACATTGCTTTTCGAAAACACAACTCCGGTAAGTCCATCTCGATTCTGCACTTTCCAAAGTACAGCGAGAGCCCTACCATCCACTGTAACCTCCGGCTGGCGGGGTTGTCCCAAGTAACTGGTCCTCGTACTGTGTATGGGGGAAGAAAGAGCCGAGTTATCCCACAACCCCAGCAGGAGTTAGCCTGTGCCCGTGTCGTTTCTTCTGCTACAGCTTCCGTGCTACACTACTTCCTTGATGCCGCCTTGTTGCCCAAGTCTGTCATCTCGGATACTGACTACCAGTACACAATGCTATCAAGGATCATGGCCTAGGTAGACAATGCTTTCCGCCCCCATCCGAGTACATTCATCATGGCTCAAGGGAATCAGAGCAGCGGAATCGACGGGTTTTTTTTCTGTCACGCTGAATTAGACCCCATTGCCGATCCTAATCCCTGACATGCTCTGCCTTACAGCTAGAGAGAGAGAGAGAGAGAGAGAGGGAGAGAGAGGGAGAGAGAGGGAGAGAGGAAAAGAGAGAGAGAGAAAAGCTGTGTACCGTGCACCCGTACGATCTAAGATCCATCAGAGAAGGCAGCACATCTGGCGCAGGTCAACGCTCATCCCCCCCCCCCCCTCCTTTGGGATTCTTCGCCCGCGAACGAGGAGCATCACATATCGAGCGTCTCCATCGCCAATGGACGTTTAATATATTCTAGACCCCATCTACCTACCTGTCCGCGCCATTCACGTAAGTACAAATCAGCCCAATAACTTTGCTCCTTCTACTTTACGAAGTCCAGGTAGCCGAGTGAGAGGAAGATGCTGGTAGGCCTGGATGTCGAAGCACACAGGCTCCAGAAAACAAAGACGTATCAATGTCGGACGAGCCAGGCCATAGAAATAAGCGGTTGTCCTCTTCACTCTGTACTGCGACCGACTTATACCCTTCGCCACTCTCATTGGTACCTTCAAATAATCGAGAAGTGCAAGACTAGGTAGGTATGTATGCTCCGAGGCTCGGACTCACTATCAAGCTCTACCTACTATGCTGAGCCTTGCTCTATCAGTCGTTCTCTTCCCCACCCGTCCCACACCTGTCACCCATTTAGGCGCTGTAAGGCGGCCGCACGGAAAGAGACAGATGTGAGACAGAGCAAACTACTCTACTGCGTACGGAGTACATTGGACGAGTTTCTGGGAGACTGGTAGACGTCCTGCTCCGGTGGGCTGTAACATCGCTACGGATACAGCCTACTGGGCTGGACTGGGCTGCATCTGCGAGTGTGACTGTCATGTCATTGGGACTGCTGCTGCTGCTCTGCTACTACTCTATCGTGTATGTAGGTATGTGTGAGGTGTGGTTCTTGCTGGCAATGGTAGCCTCTCAGAATCTTTCGCTCTATCCCCTGCTCTTTCTCTTTTACCCCCATCCATGGAGTTGTGGATACACACGCCCCATGCCCTTTTTTCTCTCTTTCCCTCGCTCTATCTGGTCTTTCCAGACACACGCCCCCCCCCCCCCCAAGCCCCAAGACAAGACCCCAAAGCTGCTCGGCCGACTGAATCGACCCGCATCTACAGAGTTGCACTACTGCGTACCCGTACATACCAGCCCCGGGCGGCTATCGTCTGCGAGGAACCACCCACACCCATGCCCCCGCATGCAAGTCTGTCTCTGTCTCTGGTTCTGCCTCTATCTGTCACCGTCTCTTCTGTCTGCTGTACTGTGCTTGTCCTGCCTGTCCTGCCTAACCCCTCCTCCTGCTCTTCCTCGTCTCCTGCTCTCTTGGTCTGTGTGCCGGCCCTACCTACACCTACCTTACCTTCCAGACTACAACGGCCTCATGTACCTCGTGTACACTATCCTTCCCCCTGTCCCTTTTCTCGAACCCTGGCGATGGTCCCCGCTGCTTTCTATCCTGGAGAGTGGCACTCGTTCAAATCGTCTCGACTGGCAGGCTCCCCTTGCGAAAAAATACAAACCTTTGGATCGGCACCATCGCTGTCCACTTTGCTCGTCATTAATAGGCCGCGGCCATCTCGTCCTCGCGAGGCTCTCTTCTCATCCATCCCACTTGACAAGTCCAATTACGGAGAGGCAGACTTCAGTGACTCTTTGAATTCTTTATTACTGTCCATCTCCCCCCTTCTTATCCTCCTATAAGACAAGACAAGCTTCACACAACCATAAACTATCAAAGCTCTTGCCCACATCCAAGTCTTTGGAATATCCCCATTGCCACTTACACATCACCCTCCACAACAACACTTTCACTTTCACATTCCACACCTACCTCGATTGTCCACAACTCCTCCTGGTCATCCACTCGATCATGGCGAGCCAGAACTACGTCGAACAAACCACTATGCATTCAGACGGAATATCAGACCCCATGCCCAGCAGGCGCACCTCGGTGGCACAGCCTCCTACCACAATCTACCCAGACCTCAGAAGCCCTCCATTTGCTGTAAGTCGACATATATATCCTTGAGTGGCTCCTCAGGCTTGTCTGACAGATACAAGGTCACAACTTTCAACCATCAGCCGCAACTCGGTGAATCCCACATGTTGACTCCAGTATCTGGTGGCGGCTCGCCCTGCATGCAACAAACAACAACTCTTCCCCAGTACCCATCAGCGATGGCTCCTATGCAGCCCCAGTCCAGTCCTTCCGGATCCTCCAGGATGGCTTGGCATAACACTGTTGCCATGAGTGCTCCTCAGAGCCAGGTTGGCTCTCCGATGGCCATGAACCCTCCCACAACCGAGAGTCATTTCGAGATGAACTACATCCAAGCAGAGCCTGAGCACGAACGCGAACCTCCTGAAGACTACTACTTTGGTAACTACACAGTTTCCGCGCAACCTCAATCGGACCAGGGCTCCATGTCCCCTCAGATGCCACCCCACGGCTACTACATGTCTCAACCTCAGCAGCAAATGATGCAGCCGCAGCCTATCATGGGCGAGCTGTCCATGGGACAAATTCCGCATCCTTCGCAAGCCCAGGCACAGTACTATGCCCAGCCGCCGACTCACACTTGGGTAGAGGACTCCGATATCACATCCTTCAAGTCTGAAGCCACCAGAAGACGTTACATGGGATACGCCCTTCCAAGCACACAGATACAACGCCCCGAGGTCGTTCGAGGACCTACCCGAGCCCGTCAAAACAACCAACAAGCAGCGGGCCGGTGCCAAAGATCTCCTCGCGTTAGAGGTCGAGGGGAACAGTCCGAGGCAGAATCATCTGAAGAGCCGACCGCCGATGACGAGATGGCGCATATTGACTCGCTCCCTGATGAATTCGTCGTCAAGCCGGAATGCCCTGAAGACGTCGCCTTCCTCTTCCATCGTCAAAGGGACATGATTCTCTCAGGTAACAAGGGCACCGGAATGTGGGAAGTCATTGCGGGTGAGCACAGAGAGAGGTTCGGGATGACAAGCTCTGCTGCACGTTTGCAAATGCAGGTGACCAGAGGAAGATCCAACTTTCTGGAGTGGTCACTCAGAGATGTAAGTCACCTTCATGGTGTTGGGATATTTTTGTGAGCAATATAACTAACAAGATACCAGAGACATAAACTCAAAATGGCGTTCGATCACGTCGATGCTTACTATTTCAAGATGGTCCATCGCAAGTTTAAGGAGCTCGGCGGCGGACAAACAACTGCGTGGGGCGCAAGCGACGTTGAGTACCTGGCAGTCGAGCGTGGCATGGTAGATTCTGGCTACACAGCCGAGCCTACTACTCAGCCGGGGAAGTCGCGGAGAACAAAGAAGCAGAAAACCCGCCTGAGAAACCTCGCCACGAGCAGCGCTGTCCTGCTTGACGACACAGTCGACTTACAGCAGAACCCAGAGCAGCGACAACAGATACTCGATGAAATATATGAGTACCGCGGCGAGGATCCCGAAGACGGTGTCGACGAAGAACCCATATTCAAGACGGTGGCCAGAGCTCGCCCACGCGGCCGCCAAGTAGAGATCAAGATGGAGGAGGAGAGCCCCGAGGAAGAGACGGCATCCTCGTCCAGCAAGTCCAAGGGCAAGCAGCCTGCCAAGAAAAGAGCACCAGCAAAGCCTAGGGCCGTCAGAGCACGCGTGGCACCCAAGCCCAAGTTGGCCTGAAGAATCGTCGAGGTTCAGACAAAATCTACGACGCACAAATCAACACCACCTGTGATGGTGACCTTCACTTCTTCCGACGGTAGCCTCCTACGAGGTTGGCCCTAGCATGCTATTCCCAAGCCCAAGCGGCTGTGACGACGTATAGATTGTTCCTTGTCATTTTGCATTCTGTTTCCTTTTGTTTTGGTCTTGGATTTCTTGTTTTGGCTGAAAAGATACCACTCATTTCGTATGGTTTCTCATCCTGGGAGGGAAAGGAGGACGACAGGCGGCAAGGGCTCTTCTGCGTTCCGCATATCATTATCTCGCGTACCTTTAAATTTCACTGTCTATATTCATGTATGCCATTTGCAACAATTACTTAAAAACATACACTCATCAAATATCACCTTACATTGAACCCCTGTGCACACAAGGCCAACTACATCAGTCGCGAGCTTCCTTCGCCATCGTCGCGAATCTTCCATGTCGATGTCCTCAGCCATTACGAATAGGCTGCCTTGATACCTACCGATGCTATTACCCGACGACGCCGTCCAATCCGCCTGCCTGTCATGACACTGTGGGATGGGCCAAAACTCGCAACTCATCTATCTCCAGGCAGGATTTCCGAGTTCTCGGGACCAAGGCAGCATTCGCACTCGCCGACGCGCCCAATGTAACGAGACTACGCTCGGAGTCGTCTCATGACCATGGACTGGGGGAAGACAGCTCATCTACCCGTACTTTGGCCCATTCATGCCATCGTCATCAGGATACGCCAAGAGAAATAAAGCGACTTGTTCTCCTCTTCTACTGCTACACCACTGTCGAACAGCAATTACGACGACGTTGAGAGACGAGTTAGCACGCCTTGTTCGTCACATCAAACCCATGTTCATGCTTCATGTCGGGCTGGAGGGAGGGTCCCGCCGGGGGGGGGGGGGCTAGCCCTCTTCAACGGGCGCCCCGTCCGTGCCCTCTCTTCCTCCTGCCCCCCTACTGCCCAGGAACGGGCGAAGGCGAGGGTGATTGGGCTGTGGGAAGGGTATGAACGACCCGGAGACCAGGAAAGGCAGACCAGATGGCATGGAGGGAGAGAAGAAAGATGTGCCCTGCGCTGCGGTTGCGGGTGTGGCTTTTCCTCAACGGCGGCGCGGGTGGTGGTGGTGGATACCCACACCGGCAAGAAAAGTACGCTATAAAAGCACCCGCTTCGAGTTCTCATACGATGAGCAGAGCGACTACCATCCACAGCCAGGCCGTGTCTGCGGCCCTTCTGGCCCGGATGCGACATGCTGCTTTTCCGCAGCCTGAGAAGTCGAAACTTTTACCCTTTTCAGACGGGATAGTGGATATCGGGTCCGTTCAGGGTCAAGGGGGGAAGGGGAGGGGACTGGGGGAGGGATGGATCGTAGCAAGAAAGTGTTTAAAAGAGGCCATCACTGGGGGGGGGGGGGGGGGGGGGGGGGGGGGGGGGCTTAAGAGACTGACAGTGAGAGAGGGGAGAAGGAAAGAGGATCACAGAGGGAGGTTCAACTGTCAGAGTCCCATAGCTTTTTTGCAGTAACCGCAAAGAGGCATTGCAAGGTTATGGGGGGATTTTAGTCGCACTGTCGCAGAGGGGGGCATACCTAGCGCGGTGCCTTTGTGACAAGGGGACACAAGGCACGCCGCGCAGGGCCAGAAGAAAGAAAGAAAAGGGTAGGGACAAGCATGGCGGCGGCGGCGCGCGCCAGGCAAAAGAAGGGTGGCACGGGTGGGGGAAAATGGGAGACGAGAAGGAAATGAGAACCTCACTGAAGTATCCGTACCCTCTTTGATGTTTCCCCGGGGCATCATCCCCGTAGGCTACGGAGTAGGTACACTTTTCTGCCTGCCAGACTCCCAGTGCCTGCCTACCTGCCTGCGCGCGGCCTTGGTGATGGTCCGCTTTGGACCCTGATGTGTACGGAGGACGTACGGATAGAGGGGGAGGAGGAGACGGGGGCGGAGAGACGTCAGGACGACGATATTCTCTCCGTCTCTCTCCCTACGGAGTACACAACAAGTAAGGTAGACTCAGAGAGGCAGAATGTGAAAGAGACGGCGAGTGGTGGGTACCCCAGCCGGCGGCCCCGCAGAGCGGCTTCCGCGCACTTTGTGATTGTCGCCCTTTGCCGCCAAGACCTGGCATTTTCGGCTTCCCGGAGTAAGGTTTCTTGTCCATTGTGTTGCCCATTTTGCCCATTTCCTGTTCCAAAACTCTCGCGAGCTGCTCTTGCGGACGCTGAGCTCACGTGAAGTGGGAAAGCTGTGAGAGATTCCGAATTTCCGGGGGCCTGTCCTGTCCTGTCCTGTCCTGTCCTGGCTGCTTGGGTGAAGTTGCCGGGAGTTCAAATGTGGCAGGTAAAGTAAGGTAAGGTAGGTAATAAGATCCTGTAAGTCATCGATCGTCTGACTCCCCTATCAACCCATCTCTCTATATCTCCCCCCTCCCCCCCCCAAAAAGTCAAAGCAAGTAATCAAGTCACGTAGTACAGAACAACTTTGGGTAGTATAGCACAGAAGAATAAGAAAGACAAAAAAAGTTGTATAAGAGGGCAAGCAGCTGTTCCGTGTAATTCGGCAGTGGCGCGGCAGGCTGGCAGCAAACCAAGCTCTCGGCCGTTGACGGGATAGGTTCGATCCGAGGCAAAGATGACGACGGGTGAAGAGAGTACCCTCCCAGATCAATGGGGCATTGAGCATTGGGCATCGGGTAGGATAGCGTGGATAGGCGAATGTGAATAAGAAAAAAGTGAACGCTAGACGGGCCGGAATTATGCAATCAAGTCCGGACGTGACTACGTCCAGTCTAGTGGAGCATCTCTTCGTCCTTTTTTTCCCTCTCTCTTTCGCAGCCGGCTCGACGCGGGGACGGACGTCAACCCGCTTCGGTTTAATGCTGTCTCACAATTCCTGGTGTCCATGAATGGTTTAATCATCATCGTCGTCGTCGTCGTCTTTGCGTCGTAGTCGAGTGCGGGCCCGAAGATTGCGCGCGCAATCTCACAATCTCAATCGCATTCATGGAGCGCATTCATGATCCATCGTCTCATCTGATCGAGCGGGGGGATCCCTTGAATGAATGTTGCAAAAAAAAAAAAAAGGAAACGGCTGACGGGTCGGAGGGAATCTCCTCTTCCCCCCATCCTTTCCCCCTCCCTCTTTTGCTCTCATGGGATGCTCATCCTGACCTAGAATGCTGACCGGTGCGGGTGTGTGACGGGAACGCGATTGCGGACCCGTGATTGATCCTCTGCTTTCCAGAATCCGGGAAGAGAGAAAGCCCTCGGCGAGAGGAGAGGGAACCACCGCGGCCAGGGGCCTGGAAGGGGTGACGAAGCGACGAACCTCCCTGCTTTGCTTGAAGCACCACAAAAGCGCACGCTCACAAGACAGACAGACACCAGCCCTCGCCGGGGGAGGGGGTGTGCCTTGAAAGCCCATCCCATGGTGCGAATCACGGATAATGGTGCGTGCGTATTCCGTACTCCGTACCCTGCCCTCTTTCGTCTCCGTACGGCAACGGGTGCTAGGCTTGCATGGACCACTAGGCGTTCCGCAGTCGCAACGTTCCCTTGCTCGCGCGCCTTGGGTGTGGAGCCTTCAACCTCTCTTCCTCTTCCAGCCCCCACCCTCTCGAGTCCACGTCCGGTCTGGTCTGCAGAGACACTTCATCAACCGTCCCAGGAATTCGGTAAATTGGATGGAGACAGCGCGATAAAAACGCAAACTCTCATCTTGTCCAGACTATGTTTGCGGCCTGCCTACGCCGGGTATCTTTGAGAGGCGACGAGGGGTGGGTGGACTCAAGAGAAAGAGGGCCGCTGGTGCCTGTTCCCTTGTCCTTCAACGGGTCCCCCGCGGAGTCGAGCTCAACGCTAGAGATTTCACTTGATTTGTTCTCTCGTAATTGCCATTGTTCGGCTGCCGTCCGTGGTCTTCCGTTTCGCTGCTTCGTCTAGAGACACCGCAGCCCCAATGATCCCCAATGATCAGAGAGGGGGAACTGGGGACGAGAGCACCCCCCCCCCTCTTGCTTGGCTCACGGGCCACTGTCAGCCATGGGGTTCCCGATAGTGTTGATCAACTTGGGGGTGCTTGACTGGGCTGAGCTGCCATCCTCGAAGCGATGTAGCCCTCTGTTGCAACTTGCCGTGCCTAGACAGGCTAACCTTGCCCAATACACACGTCAAGGTCGTCCACTTCGTTTTTCCGATGATCTTTCCAGGACAAGATCGTTTGTTATCTCACGCCATTGTCGGCGGCCGCCTCCATGGGGTGGTATCATGGGGTCGTAGGTGTGCGCAGCCCATTGTTCAACCCATGATTCTGGTCGCAGTAGCCCAGTAAGTTATGGTGTGACATCGAGTCACACTTGGAGAGTGTCAACCCCGGATTCTGGTCTTCGCAGGCGTCCAAAACCCGTATTGCGCCTGTTCCAGCCGGTCTTCTTGATCCAACGGCGAAGCTGCGAAGCGCGAAGCGCGTGTGCCAGGCCGAAGAGACGATCATGCCATCCATCACATCTGCTATGCACTATATCCGGAATGAGCCTGCTAGATCACCGCCAAACGGGCGAAGGAGTGGTCGGTAATTCTCATCTGCAGCGGCTAAGCCACTACTTCTGCGAAACCTAGCCAGTCAAATGGCTATCCGTCTTCTCGGGACGAATCAGAAGTGCAGAATAGAACCGCCTGCCGGGTATAACCTTTCCCTTGCAGAGGAGTCGCAGCATCCGTACAAGCAGAACAGCAAGCAAGCCAATCGCGCCATCCAGCAGCGTCATGGAGACAATCGCTCACCCTGCTCTCCGCTTTTCCACCAGTAGACGCTCTGTTTCCGTCGTACTGCCAATGGAATGACTGCAAACAGGCACTCTGGTCCAGAGTTTCTGCAGCTTCTGCTTCGTTTTTCTTTCTTTGCAGGCCTCGTTCCAGAGCATCGGGTCCAAAGTCGGTGAAGACAATATTGCTCTTGTTCCGGAAAGGGATCCAAATCGATGTGCTCCTGCCTCATTTGGAGGTTCGAAACAGACCCGGTGCCGAGTTGAATGGCTCGCCATCTGGCAATCGACATGGCGTCGAACGTTTCCCAGGAAGTGGGAACGGGGGTGGAAGATTGCGCCCGCTTTCCAGGTTTCCAGACTTCCAATGACTGCTTTGCGACATCCACCGCGAGATCCGCTTTCGTGATCTAGAGCTCTCTGAAAATTCCTCTGATTTGGAATCGGGGGAAGACAAGAACTACGCCGCAGACTGTCAAAGGAGATCTGCAGCTCGAGGGCTGAGCACCTTGACTGACAGGGTGCACATAGCAAGAGGCTCATGCTTGCTGTACCACCGAGACATGAAGATGTGGGATGTACCTTTATGAAGCGAGATGTAATCCTGGCCGACGGGCGTTGTAGTAAAGTCATGATGGTAGACCGTAGCGGGCTACTCTCGCAGTAACTTTGGTGTCCAGGCGGCGTCGCCTCAGCCGCGTATCAGTGTATGTCAAGCCGCATACCCCGCGCGCTCAAAGAGGAACTTCACCTACTCGAGACACGTTCACTACCCTGGAAGACACGACTGGTATGCGGAACATCGTGCGCGAAGTGTCGAGGCTGGAGTATAGCTGGTGAACGACCATGATGAGTGGCTGATGTTCGACTGCTCAGCCTGCGAGATGGGCGCGGAAGGCTGAAGCCATGGTCTGCCGAATTGGCCTGGCGGTGTGCGCGGCCCGTTTGGCGGCCAGCTGCGGTTCCATCACAAATACCCAGGGGTGATGACCGGCTGTACGAGAAGTTCAAGTGGGCCGAACAGACGTCACAGCTTGTCGGTAACTCTGTCCCAATATGGCCCTCGCCGACAAAGTCGATGCTGAAGCTCGCTTCCCCTCAATGCTGCCTGAAACTGGGGCACGGTTCTGATCGGAATGGCTTGACGTTGTGGGGGCAGCACCGGTGATGGACCGCTGCGCTCCGACATTGACTATCATCGGTCCTGGGCGTGAGGCAAGTGTGCATCGTGTCGAAGTCTTCATGAAATAGCTTCGAAATTGTGGGTTGGAACTTGGTCATGTAGAAGAAGAGGTTTCGCGCTTATGCGGGGCGCCTGTCGCCCAACAATAGAAGCGCTTCGAGAAAGCATCCTTCGATGAGGTTGACTTTGGAGGATTTTGGCGTTGTGGGGTTGTTGGAAGAAAGAAAGCTTCCCGTCAGTTAGCGCGAACGGTGGTGAGTGCACTGGCCACACCTTGTTCTCAGTGATGAGGTAAGATTTTGCGATAAGCAAGATAAGAGGGGCAGGTACAACCTTTCGACGTACAAGTAAGGTAGGACTAAAGCGGGAAATGCGGTTCTTCCTCCTCGACCTGATCAAGATAAAGCTTCTCTTACGAAGCTTACCTATGCCTTCTATCCATTTAACTCACCACCTTGATAGGAGTTCCAAAGGTCAGCTGATCTCGCAACGTTTCCCAGCAAGTACAATCATTCTTTTCAGTTCCATACCTTACCGCATAAACCCCAGCTCGTGTTGCTCTTCATTTTCCGAGCTG